CTTCAGAATATGTCTCCAATACTGCTGATTTTTCATCTGGTTCAGCCTTAAGCTTTTCTTCTTCTAACTTCCTCATCAAAAAAGCTTGTCTGTGGTAGACTCCTTCTTCGTGTTCTTTCAGTCTCTTAGGTTTCTTCCATTTGGTGAAACCAACTCCAGGTTTGCTCAATGCACTAGATGTCTTTTCTGATACCTCAGAAAGCAGTACGCATGCAAAACAAATTAGACATCCCAAGTGTGGAGAGAAGAGGGGTCAAGATCGGTTGTATATTTTTCCTGTTGGAAGTTTTCTAGTGAACCATGATGTCAAACTTCGTGATTTATTTTGGGTAAACTCTACTGGTAACAATACCGCTCATGTATGATTTGGACAAATAAGCTACCCATTAACAGAATTTTGCTCGCAGTTCCTCGTATAAAATTACAGGCTAAATATATCCGAAGTCTTTGTACTTAATTACAGTTTCTTCCACTTCTTGAGAAAGTGATTTTGGAAGACCATCACTTGACTCCTCATCTGTATCACTTACTTTAGATGTTTTCTCTGACTGTGGTAAAAACTATTTCCCTGGAGTTTCTTCAGCACTACTTGTCTCATGAAGAGTCATTTTCACTTCTTCGACTGCTGTATCTTTCTAAGAATCCTTTGAATAGTGATACTTTTATTCAACACGTTCATGGTGTCCTTTGTTTTCAGTGCTCTTATCAGGTTTCTTCTTAGATGATAAGGATGATGAAATAAACTACCCTATATATCAAGTTACTTCCTGAGAATAACACAGCACTAGTCAGCGCTACTCCTTGAAATTGAGAGTAACCCCGTACGGAAAGAGTTACTACTCTGTGTGGTATACATGCAACAGGGTCACTAACTTATATGACAACGTGAAAAGAAAGATTGCATGACACTGACGTAATATCTAAATTATTTAAAAACAAATTTCGGACACTCATTTGGGGGGACCCCTCAAGTGGGGGCCCGGGGGGATCTTCAAATTCTCCCCTCCTCCCCCACCCTAGCTACGCCACTGGTTAGGTACGACCGTAACGGTACAATAAAAAACATTCTTTAAAATTTCAGCTTGATCCGAGAATATGTGAGGGAGAAATAATGTGTAGGCTACAATTATCTGAGGGCATCAAACCCTATATATTTAGCCATATCTGTGAATACTGAAAGATTACTTTTTTGCTGGTATAAAACAAAATAACTAATTACCAGTAATGAATTGACTGATTGGTCACGTTTTTTTTTTTAATTGATTCATTCCTTGTCTAGTCTACTCAGAAATGTATGCATCAGCTTCGTTAGAGAGGATTGAGCCTCTTAATGGATTCACTTTTGCATGAATGGCTCCATAAACTCTAATACCCGAAAGAAAGTATAATACAAATATGCTATCCGAATGGAAATGACCCATCTCGACCTTTTCTTGCATGGCTCTCCCTTCAGAAACTATAAAGCAGAGCTCTCAGAAATACATGGAGCCAATCAGAACCGGGTTTAGACTTAACAAGACCCTAATCTATTTGAGGTATGGGGCCCTTTGTAATCAACTTAAGACCTCCTCTGTTTTTACTTCAAGCTATAATTTATGTAGCCTATAAATAAATCCAGCACTGTAGCCAATAATCTATTAAATAGATATAAATGTACCTAAAATAGACAGCCGCCTAGTTATGCTTACAAATGACAGATCTAGCTAGAAAGGGGGATGATTTTAAAAAAAAATGCTAACTACTATCACTTTACAAAATTAACGTTTATGCTGCTCTGTGACGTGGTAACGAGCTATTGGTCTGAACTGCCCACAGGTTGCGATGTGTTTGTGAATTTTTTAGTGTTAACTGCAAAGTTTGTTTTACATGTTTCTGATATTCCTTCAGAATTGAAGATATATTTTTTTTACATCCTCTATCCCAAACTACACGAGCATGCAACTATCCTGGTCCAAAAGTATATCAAATAACATTGTCATTTAAAATTATTAAAGTCTAGAGATCTTCGTTAGGTCATCTCCATAATAAATAATTAACAATTACATTGCTTTTATGCGTCATATTACTTTTCTTTAATTTTAACGTTTAATATTAATTTATTAGTAGTTAAAAGTTAGGCAATCCATCACTGAGTACCGGCAACTATCTTTTTTACAAAGAAAAAAAAAAAAGCACTGTATATGCCTATATTATATATATAACTACACATAAGCTATAGATATTCTTGCCAGTAGCCCAAATGGGCTAGTATGTCTTATTTTGAATTGCACTAGACCTAGCCCAAACTTAAGAGGAGAGACAGTAGTTTAAAAAAATGCTAAGCTCATTATAATATGAATATCATTTGTTTTAGTGTTGACAGTGCAAATAACTAACAAAGATTTTAAAAGATTTAAAATGCCTATTGCGAATTATATATCTGTGGCATGGTACTAAAGATTTAAATTACAGTACAACAATGTGATTTATTTAACATATATTTAATTGGTTAGGGTTAGGCTTAAATTAAATAAATGTAATTGGTTAGGACTGTTAGGGTTTGACTTAAAGTAAGGTTATGCTTAGGACTAGGGTTAGGATACAAAGAAAATGGAAAAAGAAAAAAAACAAAAAAAAAATTATTTTTTTGGGGTTTTATTTATAAATATCTTGAAGTTAAATTAAAAAACAACTATGCTTCAAACTACAGATTGGTAAAAGACAATTTGCCATTAATTCAATCATTTTATCATTTGGTAAAGTGATTATCACAATGACTTCAATCATACACAAGTTCATTTGAAACAATGACTAAACAAAGTACTGTTAACACCCATTACATCATCAGCATTTACATATGTTCTTGCACTGGGGCTTGTTGCCATTCTCTTCAAACCATTGATGTCAATACATGCATAAATTGGCTTCCCTTGATTCAAAACTCATTTCCAATGGGTAGTTGATAATAGTCTGCCCAATGGACTGGTGTTGTTTAGTTCACTCATTTGTTTAGGCTAACAGTTTATAAGGGCATTGTGTGGCCATCTCAGTGACTAGCTTGAGAACTGGGTAAACACAGGGCCTCCAATGAAGCCTTCCAACCCAAAGAATAAAAGAGCTTAGAGCCTTTATAAATATTTGAGCCCTCAAACCTACTAATCCACAATTTAACACTCAATCACTGCTGAAACTCCTTTCAATTTACCAGTCATCTAAATTTAAAACAAATGTTACTTTGGATTCTGAGCTAAGGGTTCAGATGTGAAAAAAAGATATCAGTATGGTGTAATGAATGCTTGACAATTGCAGGGGGTAGAGAAATCAGGGTAGTCAAGGATCTTGACCTTATATTTTGTGAATTTAGGGCATTTAATGTTTAGCTTTAATAATACAAAATCATTTCATAAGTCATTTATTAAAAAAAAAATTATTATCAGGGTCATTAACAAATGTATGACTATGCTAAAATATTTACAGGAAAAAAAATATGGGAAAAAACTTAACATAATAACAGCATTCATTAGAAGTACAGGCTCTCTTTAAGAAATGTCAGGTGTAAAGGAAAAAAACAACAACAGGTATTCAAAGATTCTCAAACTTGGAAGGAGCAGGTTTGGGACAGATTTATAAAAAAAAAATTAATTATTTCCATTCTTAAAAACCTGAGAAAACTAAATCCATTTTATCCATTGGATTGATCAGTGCACTAGTTGCCACTTGGTACATTACTTTCAGAAGAAAGTAAATATTAAGAATCTCCTCTTCATGAAACAATGCAACACAATTTTCTGTTTTCAAAGTGGTAGACAATAAAGCGAATACTTTACAAGCAAACAATTTTTGAACTTCTTAATACATCTTCATAATGTAAGCTTAGCTTGAGCCCAATCCTTGTTAATTAATGATACACTACAATTTTTTTTTGGATTGATATTTCTTCATAGGTTGCTATTTAAAAAGTTATATAAGGCCTATCTCTTTTATAAAGAACATGATCAGAAATTTTTACAGAAAAGTTTAAGGATTCTTAGAATAGTTGTCTTTGTTTAATTTTCTGTTTAAGGACATGTACACACAATCTTCGCAGTTAATCTGGCAGACGTCAACACAAAAACATCCCTTACATAGTTCTGTCCCCTCATGATAAATTACAATCTTCACTGGCCAATACCATAAAAACATGTGCACTCTTACAGAGAAGGGGAAATGTATATATAAATATTAAAATATTTAATTATATCTATTATATGCATGTACATTAAAAAAAAAATTAAGTGTAAGAAAAAAAAAATGCACATAACTGAAACCATGGAAGTCAGGGCTAGGATAGTGTATTACATAATCACACTGTGTTGGCTACAACAAAAATACAATGCTAGAGTGAAGTGGAACATTGCGTCTGCTCCGGGAGATTATTTAATTTGTGTGTTTTCAATGTATCTATACATAGGAAAGACCAGTTGCAACAGATGGGAAGTGACAAGGGATAATGTCTTAATAACAGACCATGCATTCATCTCTTTTTAACAGGTGTCCAGGTTCTGGTAATTAAGTTAGCATGTAATATTTCTTTTTTAAAAAGGGATCACAAAATTTATAAGCACCAATTTTTTGTTTGCTTTTTTTAAAATTTTTTTTTATGAAACTACATGCCATTAAACATTTCTTTTTTGTTAAGATTTTGAGAACTACCACATAAATTAAAAAAAAAAAAAAAATTTTGAGAGGGGGAGCATAAAGAGCATGATAATGTAATCATTTCCCCTTAAATCTGGCATATAAAGATTTAAACAATAAACACTGGTATACTAAACAGCTTATGACTCTCTACATAGGAAAAGTTTAAAAAGTTGGAATAAATATTGCATTAAATCACATTTTCAAGTGAAATAATTTTATAAATATTTATAAGTATTTATATATAGATAGATCTTATTCAATAATAATAAAAAAAAGACAACTAACTAAATATTTTTTTTTTTAATACAATAAAACCTTGTCAAATCAAACAGCATGTTTCAAAGTTTCTTTTTTGTTTGTTTTTAAATGCATGCATCAATCTTAACTGAGTTATAGGAGGTAGGGTACATTGTCATCACTTTTATCAAACATCTGATATATGAAATTATCTGAAGCTCAATGGCTGCACCATTTCAAATAGATAATATCAGGAATCTTCAATTTGAAAGCTAAATTTGACCTGCAATAGTTTGGGCATTGCTTCTCAGCCTCAATGTGGTGCTCGGATGGAAACAATTGTTAGGAGACAATTAGGCCAATAGAGAAGCAAAAAAAAGAACCACTTTTGGGGTGCCTAAGGACCAAGTCCATTGCACTGATGGGGAAGGAAGAAAGTCCCAACAAACACCCTTCCTCGAGGGACAGTTTTTATGGCAGCCACTTGCACAGAGGATGTGGTGCAGAAAAGAAATATGGGGGAGTTTCCCTGATGTGCTCAGGCACTGGCCTCACTTCTAATCCAAGCGCCTTGGGATATGAGCCATCAGTAGTAGGGATGTAATAATTTACATCTCCTTGGATCTTTCCCAGTCAGAAGATAGAGGTACACTTCCATGGGCCTAGAGTTCCAAGAGTCATAGACTCAACTCTTATGACAATGAGAAAGAAGAAGAAGACTTGTGATAGCTAATGAGTCATCCTTAATATGACAAGGTTCAACTGTAGTAAAAAAAAAAAAAGACAAACAGTAACATCACACTATACATGTTCACCTGTCAGCAATATCATTACATATTATAGAAACACAACAACGAAATAATTGATTTAAAAAAAACAAAAACTTTTTACTGCATAAATAGTGTTTGGGCATTAGGCAATACAAACTCAGGACAAACTCAGGACAGTTCTGATTTCATAGTGGAATGTGGAACAATTGATCAAGACAATTTTTTGTGTTTAAAAAAAACTTTTTCTAGATAAAAAATTTAAATAAAGAGGGATGGTACATTTGCATATATAAGAAATCAAAGCTCATTACAAAAGTAACTATTCTGTGGAGTAAAGTACGTTTAATAGTGTTAGAATATCAAAATAAAAAAAAATATATTATTCAAGAAAAAGATAAATATCTACTTAGTTCCAAAATATTTTCTGTGGGCACTATCCCTATGTCATTCATTGCAGACTTATGCCCACTGTCAATAGAGTTCTGAAGAGTCATTAATTGCTATCAATGCCACATAAGATTAATTTTTATAGCTTTCAATACCAATGTTAAATTGCTAACTCAATCAATTTGATAAAATCATAAACTCATAAAATAAACAAGTTTTTACCAGTACTGTATTTAGACTTGAAAAGGTCCTAAGTTATTTGATATATGGGGCCCTTTAAAAGTCCAGATATTATATGTAAGTGCTACAAATATTTCTTGGGGGCCTTAAGCTATAGCTTGTGTTGTCTAGAGGTATTTCCAGCCCTGGTTTTTACCAAATTCCAAGAAAATGATATGTTTTGTGTTTGATCTTTGTCATCGAAGTAGATAAAAGAAAAGCTAATAATTAAAATCTGTGAAATTAAAAAATAATGTATAATAAAGACATACAAAAAACTAAGGGAAAAAAAAGTTACATACACAGAAAGGGCTCAAGCATATAACTGGTAGTGTTATTTGTGTTCAAGGAAAATTGGTGACAATCACACAACATTATAAGACATCTACTTATAGGCATTAACAGAATTTATCCAGTACTTTGTACTAAACAAACATTATTCTATACAAGGCTATTTATAATTTGACTGCATAAAAACTAGTGTTTTTCAATGAAAAGAAAAAAAAGTTGCAAGTATATTTACAGATATAATGTGATGGGACAGTAAAAAATTGTAAGTCAAAGACAAATGTTTCAACAAGAAAATGCTTTTTGAAAGAAAATAATGTTGCCTGTTTCATAAAAATTTGTTGATTTGTTTTTCATTACTCAAAATTGAATGTAAAAGAGTTTTTCTTTCTTTAAATACACTTTTTTAAAACAAATTACACTTAAGAACTGAAATATTTCAGAGTAATTTACTATAGTGGTCATGAATGACACTGTCACAAGTATAAAATATTTTTGACAGAAAAAAAAACAACTGATGTTCAAAACTCCATTTAGTTTTTTTGTTTTTTTTAAACAATTACCCCCCAGTTAAGGGACACAAATGTCGAGGTAAACTGAAAAGTGAATGGTGACTACAAACTATCTACCACTAAACTTTTTTCAGATCACTGACCTATGTGTCAACAATTAATTGTCAACATATGTGATATGTGCAACACAGACTTTCTGTCCAAGGTACGTACATACATTGTACAATGAGAAAAGAAAATGATCATTCAAATTACAATATGGAGACCAACAAAAATTTCAAAGGAAAGAAATTGATGCAAATTCTTTCCACTCCGGTATATAAAACAAAAATCAATACTTGTGTTAGAACACACAAATTAAACTTAAATAATGTCAAAACTATAGGAAAGAATAATCTAGACTGTGCACAGAAAATTCAAGTTTCAAAGAGGAAAAGAAAAACTAGATTTATGATAAATTTTATTTATTAAAAAAACAACTAATAATATGACCACTATAATGCTATATGCTTTTGGACATTCAATTCAACTTTTGAAGAAAGTGGATCTAACATCTGGATAGTTTGAAAAGTTTCTTGACCAAAAGAAATTTATTGCAAACTTTCTTTTTAGCTTGAGTTAAGGGTTTAAGTTAAGAAGAAAAACAAGAGTATTTTTATTAAGTATAAAACTTAAGTTCAGGCAACCAAAAAAATGTGTTTAGTTTTCACACTGAATTTTTGGATGAATTTCTGTTATCCAAACAGGCAATGATTGGGAGTACACAAAAAAGAACAACTTTTCCAGCAAACAAATTTTTTTTTTTTTTGGTTAGAAGACCAATATATAGGTTTAATGTCGTTTCTATACGCTAGAATTAAAATTTAAAAAAAGATTTATAACATCAATTTTTTTGTGATATAATTTGTTTTGTTGTTCATTGTGAAAAAAAAAGGAAAATAAATATGTTTTTTCTTTTATTTGAGTGGACTAACATCAAAATTCTTAAGTTTATTAGAAATCTGATGCATATGCTGTAAAGCTATTCACCATAGACTTCAAAAGGCTAAGATACATGAACCTTTTTTTTTTTTAATGTAAAGATAACTCCTTTGCATGCTCCACAATTATTTTTTTTTTTTGCAGGAAAAGAAAATTATGGACACTAGATGCTTTTAACTTATATGGGAGTTCAAACATTTTATTAGTTCTTAATAATATAAGCTTTATTTTGAATTGTTTCAAATGGTGAAAAGCCAGAATTTTTTAAAGGAATTGGCCTGTCTTTTATATTAGAAAACTTTGTTTTTTACAACTTTCTTAGCTTTTTACAAAAGTCCTTTGAAAGTGGTTTCAGTCTCTTCATACATATCTTTGTATTAGGTTTATTATGACTGTTTAATCCGGATGACTCCAATTGACCTCTGTTGTGAATGACTCGTCAATGTTTTGATTTGCAAGAATGACCATCGTGCAATGTGTATAATAGAAGAAAGTAGCCCTGTAACTTGTAAGAGGAGGCCATGTTATTGACTTAAGTACTGTTTGGTCTAATATCTGATGTTTTTATTGAAAACCCTTTTCATCTACCCACTTTTATTGGGATTACTGTATTTTGTGTCTCAAGATCTTGGATTGTTGTAATTGTAGAGGGTATGGTTCAATTGTTAGAATTAGACTATATCAATTTTTTCAATATTATGGTTTTAGGCCCAGTGTGTATTGAAACCCTGTGACATTATAAGGAATTGCCCTGTTTTTTCTAAATGAAAACTTTTTTTTTCAACTTTTTTTTTGTTCCTACAAAAGTCCTTTAGCAACAGTTAATAATATGATCTATTCCAACCACCTTTTTACTTAAAATGATGCATGGGCTTAGCACTCCTCAAGTAATATGTCACACTCTGATCTATTTTCCGACTGATCGCTGAGCGTCATTAATAAAGTAATTTATTGAGAGTTCAAGCAAAAGCTTGAGGAAAACGAAAACTGCAGTCGCTGAATTCCATGGTTGATGCCAGGGTAGAGGGGATGAGAGTTTTTTCTATCATCGCTAGGCTTCATTAATGAGTAACATTCAGTTTAATTCAGTATAATTCAAGCAGAATAGTCAAGCTCTTCCATAGATGCAGCCATGGGTTTTGATATTTGGTCTGCAATTTTGTTTTGGTTAGAAAAATAGCAAGATATTGTGCTACAGCCTTTTTGTAAACTCAGAAAACTCCAATAGTATTGTCTGATTTTCTGAGACAAAGATAATTATTGTCCTGAAAAATAGACTATAACTTCAATATAAAAGTGATGAAATAATTATCATTAGAAAAAAAAAGGAAAAAAAATTATGTACATTTCTTTATTTACAGAATAGAACTACACTTCAATTTAAAACAAGCAGTACTGAAAATGTATATTTAAATTCTACATTTTTAATAAACAAGCATGAAATGAAACGAAATATAAGAATTAAATATTTAATATCAGTTTAGTAATTTAAAAAAAGTAAAAATAATAAATCCATAACACTCTGTGCATGAATAGAAATAACTCCTAACTCTTTAGGTCAATACTGCAAGGTGACAATACAAAATGTTTCCAGACTTTAACGCAAGCCTGAAATGGTTGATAATTTCACATAAATGCAAATAATTACCGGTATTAAACTACAAACTGTAATAAATTAAATATATATTATTTCAATAAACATTTGATGAAAAATTGATGATTAAAGATGTTTGCTAGATGCTTCCATAGCAGTGAACAATCCTTTGCATGGAGACTGAATTTTTCAATAAAATACATCCAAGAAAAAATCAAAGGGGGAAAAGGGAAAATCTCATAATCTGAAGTGTCAAAGAATAAACAGAAACACTTGTTGAATTTCCACAATCTAGCTGGTATGTCTTGACATGTTTATACATTGAAAAGAAACTTCCTGGTTGTAAAAGAAAACTAAACACAAACATTTTTAAAACACATAAAATAAAACCTCAGTTAACACATCTCTAAGTGAGTGAGAGAGCCTAGAGTTTAAGATCCAAGCGTTCTATCTCAGACTTTTAGCTCCTTGAGTTTGATTTCCAATTATTTTAGCACAGAGTTTAGCTCCAAGAAATTAGGCTCTTCATATTTTAGCTCCAAAAGTTGTTTTTTTTAAATTGGCTTACAGTGTAAGCAGTGAGAAATTTAGCTCTGAGTGTATTAGCTCTGAGGTCTTTTCACGTCAACCAATCATGTGCGACATATCACAGATTTGTTTGTACAATTTGTACTCTATTTCTTCTTCCCATCTTTGGACTTTGAAGCTTTCGGTGTGTGTTTGCTGGAGGAGGAGGATGAAGAAGAAGTGGATGAAGACGGTGCCTGAGAACCTGAGGCTCCAGCTCCAAGACCTCCACCTAAACCTCCCAGAAGTTTCTGGAATTCTGATGAAAAAAAGTTACAATATACTTAATTAAATCACAGCCTATGAAATTGATTTTAATCAGTCTAATTGAGTTAATTTGTATTTGATGTCAAAAATGACTTTCTTGTGACAACTGTGGTTGAGAGGCTAAGTATGCTTGTACTTGGCTTGTCTTGGCTACCTATGAAAGGCGCTCGAGGTTGGACACCTGACTCGAGCAGAGTTGTGTT